AACTTAAAGTTAACTTGTGGAATGAAGATACTTCTCATAGTAGGTATTTCCAGAAGTTAACTTTTAGTTATCTTTCAAAATAGTTTTATACCTGCCCTAAGACAGATAACTAAAACTTTACTTCAGGGGGCCGATTCTCGAGCCAGGGAGTGGATCTCCTCGAGAGAACACATTTTTCGTCTTTATCATTTTCGTTTACTTTTCGATTACGTTAACAAGGAAAAAACATTCGTTCTATCGGAAAGCTCTACTCCCTTAAACGAGAATCCGGGCTGGATTATCCGGCCCCTGGAATAACAAGAGAAGTTAAGTCATTCCAGAAGTTAACTTCTAGTTATTCTGACAAAATATTTTTATAATACCCGCCCTAGGTCACTCTTTTTGAATTGTACCTACTTGTTAACTCCGAGCTTGATTTTATTTTTCAGAACTATATTCGTCATTGATGATCACTGTATGTGGTGGATCTGTTAGAAGATTTATCTAAAAAGCAATTAGTCTATTTCGTGAGATATCATATACTCTCTGGAGTCTAGAGATATCCAGAGGTTTTTTCTGTTGGGGTAAAAAGAATGGAATTTTTGTCCATTTCGATTCTTACTAAAGGAAGGTGAACATTTTTGGAAATAATTTAGTTTGGGTTTGTTTCATTTTTTCCATTTTATCCAGATTTTATCCCTTTTCTCATTATTTAAGAGGATCGAGCAGTTAACTGAAGTCGAATACCAACAACTGGACAGTCAGCTGGACGCATTTCTCAGTTTATTTTTAAATTTTATTAGAAATTTTATTGTTCAGTATTATTTTTATATCAAATTATTCCTTTAAAAAAAAGTGTCCCGATTTTTTAACAGCTTTTTGATTGGTATACCCGATTTGTAGATATTTCAATCTGGCAACCCTACACTCGACGCTATAGTAAAAAATAGGGTTTACGTTTAAAGATTACGTTAACGTGTTTGGTCCAACTTAAAATGCCTAATATCTTGTCGTATTGCACTTAACAGATTTACCCCTCACAAAAACACCTTAAAGCACATAAAAATGTAAAACTTCGAACAAACAGTAGACTGCAAACGACTAAAAAATGAAATTTGGCCTTTATGTGGCCGCCACGCCATCTTGAATGTCACGTGGTTTGGATTGCCTAATACATGCAGGCGCTAGCTATTACCAGAGATATGTGAGGGAAATAGAATGCGCTTAGACGACTGCGCGTCCGATTTTATGGTAACGCATAGGGTGTAGTAGATCTAGTGCAGTATTTTTTATTTCTGTCTTTTTCTTCTACAGGTTGATGAAAAAGGATGAAAAAACACTCAATGCGCATTAAATGTACCAATCGGAAACGCCATTAGTTTTTACGTTGACAAATTCAATCTGACAGATTTTTCACAACATAACCTTACTTTTGGGCGGTTACAGATTGTTGTTTTTGGCGATTTTTCGTGCTTTTTCTGAGATATTTTTATCAGAGCGGTGTTTTAAAAGATTTATTTTTGTTATTTCTGCTTATTTTTGGAGTTATGAGTTGTTCATGACCTATTTTTCCAACACCTAATTTGACAAGTGATAAAAATGGCGGTCCTTCAAATTCGGCCAGTTGCGCAGGATGGACCCTTATTCTATTCTAACCAACAAATCTCCCATATCTCTGGCTATTACGTCAAAAATCACATAACGTCACTTTAGAGGGAATAAAAACGAAGTACTTGCTACTACTAGAAGTATTAGTATGTTCTACGTAGTATTTACTCCAAAACGAAGTAGGTACTACATTTCGAACCTACCGGAAATAAGTCAATGGTTCATTGTGAAGTAAATACTACGTAGTACATACTAATACTTTTAGTAGTAGCAAGTACTTCGTTTTTATTCATACCACCCAATATCCTATTTCAGGTGAAAGACAATGAACGTCCTAACGTCCCTCATGGTAATAGGAATTGCCCACGCCTATACAATGACCTCGCTGGAAAACCCAATTTTACCAATTTCCTTAGGTAATACTTATATGACCATATAACAATACTGCGTTTTATCATATCAATACAACTACCATATTTCAAGGAATACACAAATTAGAAACAACATTGAGTTAATTTACTCCATTTATGTACTCAGTCTAAAGTTGGCACATGTTGGGGCCAGATATTTTACATTTGCAGATGATACGGCTTTGGTGTATATAGGGTCAGATAGAGGGCAGTTAGAGGCGCAAGTTAATCAAGACCTGAATAATTATCTTAAATGGCTTTATGCAAACAAATTTAGAGGGGCGTTTAAATGAAATGTCATTTACAGACCTTCACAAATTTCTGTTCAATTCCAAATTTAGACCACTTTTCAGTAAAATGAAGTTATGTTCATAACAATAATAGATTGGTGTAGTTGTTCTTCCATTTTTTGTTGCAAAATACGCAGTCTAAATAGTAGAATTATTGACAATTTTGTTGACAACAATATGCAAATTTTGGTCATGGATTTAAATGAAAAAGGGATGAACATATAGAGTAGCTCACCAACAAATTTCGGATTGTCAATTGCTGGAATAAATGAATAGAACAGAATTGCCGGAATTGGCTAACATATACAGCATTTTTTTATAGTTTTATGCAGTTTTTATTAACTTTTTAGTAGGCAAACATAATTTCCAAGCCTTAGAAATATGCTAATGAAAAATACCAGAATTTCGATTGTGATTTTTTTACGGCTAAAACTTCAAGTTAGAGGACGATGTTTATTGATACATGGATACCTTGGACATGACTCTTTTTTTTGACGTTGTGATACACAGGGTATTCCATTGAAAATAGTGGAGAATTTCGATGTTAAAAAACGGATTGTTTTCAACTCTCCCTGTATAAGTGGCAGAAAAATTTGCAACCTACTACAAAAAACTTTAGGTCAAGAGAAATCGAATGGCGCAAACCACAGGTAGCTAGCACACCTGGTTTAAAAGTTATAAACATCTAAAATGGGTCACTCTCGGCTGGGACACCGTGTATTATACAACCTAGTTTTATTGAGCTTTTGTATTTGATGGAAGTTATTATTGAGAATTAATATTTTAAAAAAAACCACTGTATATTTAGTATAATTAGATTAGCTTGTTTCTCTTGTGACCAGTATTTTTATATACTGATTTAAGAAACTTATAAAATTGTAATTTATAGATTGTTTGAAAGAAATAAATGATTTTCAAAAAAAAAATTAAATTAACATAAATGTTGAATAAAACAACATGGTCCACTCTGTTCCAAACAAACATCGAAACAAGTCAATTACAAGTAGACTTAATGAAACAAACGATTAAGACAATTGGTAATAAAAGAAGCAAAAGAGGACTTCTCAATTTTATGGGAACAGCTCAGAAATGGCTCTATGGTACTTTAGATTCAGAAGATGGTGATGAAAATCAAGGTACAATTAATAAAGATCTAGAAAAACAAGCACAAGTACTAAGGAAAGTCACAAAAACATTCCATGATCAATTGTTATATGTTGAAGCTAATCAAAAGCTCTTAGCAGAGAAAATTGATAATATTACTAATGAAAATCATAATTTTCATACCATGTTAAACTTCAATTTGATATTGAACAACATAAACATGCAAAGTAATAAGATACAAAATTTAATAGATCATATCCAACTTGCTATTAATTTTGCACAGCTGGGAGTTATGCATTATACGATCCTTCAACATAATGAATTGAATCAAATACTGCATAATATACCTAAACAACAGCAGATTCCATTTCACAATGTAATTCAATATTTTGAAACTATGAAAACACAAGTTAAAATCCAAAAGGAACTTATAATATTTGTAATCTATACACCTATTATTGACCCAAGACCTTTTCTTTTGTATAAATTATATCCTATCCCAATCCAAAACCTTACGGTTAGAATTAAGTTCCCTTACTTGATACTTACTACGGACTCATATTATAATATCCAGTGAGAATGCCCAAGAGTCGAAAACATATACTTGTGTAACCAAGAAATGCTTAAACAAGAAGAACCATGTGTCTACAGTCTAATTACTGATGTGCCCATTCGTAAAAATACATTACGAAGAACCAACAACTAAACAACTCCCAAATGGTCAACTATTGATCATACCAAAAAAGAGTCAAACCATTGTTACCAAATGTGATAAAATTAGTCACATGGACATATTGATAAAACCGACTCTAATCACTCTCGATACTTGTCAGATAACAATAAACAATCAGACATTTAAAAGGATAACTGAAAATTTCAACTTCGATTTGAAAATATCGAAAATGGACATACCTACCAGATCTAGCAGAAAATATTACTACGCTCAAGATCAAGGAATTAAACCACGAGACACTTCAAGAAGCCTTTGAAGAAGCAAGGAAGTTAGAAGTTCAACCTTTGAAAGAACTTAACTATTCTTACAATTATACTAATACTTATATAATCATAGGTTTAAGCATTGTAATCATATTTTTAATTTCAGTATACTATTTTTGTAAAAAGAAGAAAACTTCAACAAATGTGCAAATCGAATTGTGAAATTTGGGTCATCAATCAAAACAATCCGAATTTGCAACATCTTAAGGTAGGAGGAGTTATATTGAACGATTCCCATATCAACTAATGTAAATTAGTCGATCAATCTATTGTCTTAAGAAGCATACTAATTGCTCGCCCACGATGACATCACAATAATTGTTGACGTTTTTAGTGAATATTGCTAATTTGCATTTATTTTTTATAAAACGCGGTGCAGCCATGCACAATTGTTCTTTCGCTTTCATGTTTTGCAGCAGCAACTAGTTCGACCAGTCTTCATATTATGTTACTTTACTTTTACTTTAGTTAATTAAAATAAAGTTTTTAAAAAAGTAAAGTTTCTTATTTGAAACTTAATTAACCTACGCCACTGATAGACCTTTCTTCAGTATAAACAAAATATAGTATATAAACGTCTGCGAAACTTCCTTAGAAATATTTTCACGAATAAGTGAAATTTAAAATTCCGGTATCTAAACGAACTTGATAAAGCACGTCATTATAATATTATTAAGACAAAGGTTTGCAATCATTTTGTTTGAATAATTATGGGAACCGCAGGTATTTATATGTTTAGATTTATCTTTTTTTTTCAAAACGTAATCTCTTTAAACACAAACGAGTGTCCAGAATTTTTGCAAAAATCACATGTTATTAAATTATCAAATCATCTAGAGTCATTTTTGTTCCACATTTCGTGCAGTACATGCCGACTGACGTTGTCCCATATTAACACAATATAGGTAGGTACAATTAAAACATTTGATTTTATAAGTTTTTACGCGTGTACGTCTACATACGAATTTACAATTTTTTGCTGTGTTTCACGCCAAACTACTTGGCATACGTGGTAAACGTGATATATGTTATAAATGAGCTGGTTGTTTCATGACCAGCTTGAGTTACTTGTGCTTGTCAAGCAGAATCTTTTATACCAGAAACAAATTGAACTGATAACGGGTCCATTCATGGAACGGTTCAATGTTTTTTTTTTTGAAATCCATCATTTCCATAACATGTACTATATGAGCTGTTGGGTGTCTATTCTTTCGGTGATTCTATATATTTTCCAAGCACTTCTTCGAATTTCTACGTTTTGAATCTGCTCCAGAATTGTAAGTCTAGTTACATACTCGTCTCTGCATCTACCTGCCTTTTATTTCGTTCTGATAGCTGCCAGCATTCAGCTTCATTAGTCAATATCGGCTCTACAATTGCTCCGTATAGATTGTCTTTTTTCTTCACAAGTATTCATACTCCTCACACTTTTTCAGACCTCTTAAGCTAAGATCCAGGTCTTCATTATCACTCCAATACAAAGATATTCTGTTTGGCTTTAGTTTATTCTCATTCCTCACTGTTCATATTCGTCCTTAAGTTTTTTATACATTGTCCTCTGTACAGCTAGCTATTACTACCTGATCGTCTGCAAAGAATAGTGTGGACAAATATTCCCACTCAGAGCACCTATTTCTTCAGTACCTATATATTAAACAGTGTAGATTATAAAAAGTAACCTTGCTTTAGTCCTTTTGTAATTTCCAAACTTTCTGAAGCTTGATATCCTACTTTTACCTACTATAATCTGCAGGTGTTGTGTATTCTTCACTGAGATTAGTCTGTCTTTGTTGAAACTTCGATAGGTTTTTTCAAGGGCGCTATATCGTAGGCCTTCTCGAGGTCTACAAATATTAAACGTGTAGAGAGATTTCGAGCTTTCTTTGTTTCTATGATTTATTGTAATGTGAAAGTGCCATTCATGCTCGAATGTCCCGCACAAAAGCCATTCTGCTCTTCTATGTTTGAAAATGTCATTTCAATTCTTCTCTTTAAAATTCGGCCGTACAACCTTCCAAAAGAGCTAGTCCTTATTTCTCTATATTATCCACAAGTTTTTCGATCTCCTTCTTTGTGGATGGAACTTATCTGTGAGATATTCCAGTCTGAAGGTATAGTGTGCCTTCTTAGTAACAGATTGTTGTATAATCTGCTAAAAGTTCCATCGCGATCTCTGACGCACATTTGATTAGTTCGATAAGAATGTTTCCTGGGCCCCAAAGACTTTCCATTTTTCATATTTTGTACATTTGTTCTAACCTGTTTTGGCGTTATGGCTTCTACATGATTTACTTCATCTTCTCAATCTATCCCTTGAATTGTTCTCTTTCCTCTGTCAGCAGCTTCCTGTAATTTTCAGTTCATTCTCCCCATAGATATTATGTGGATATTCGCTGCTTCCTTTCTACCTTTCCTCGCGTTCTTTACAGCTTTCCATTCTGGTGCCACCCTTGAACCTCCCAAATATCTTTCGATCTCATATATTTCGTTTTTTTTGCCTTGCCACCTCTTTCTTAAACTTCCTATTCAGTTGTTTATATATTCTTCCATCTTCTGTATTTTCCGATTTTAATCACTTATGGTAAGCTTTTTGGCTTTTGTTAGCTTCTCGCTAGGTCTTCTGACCACCATTCAGGATTGTGTTTGTTTATAATGTCTTGAATTCCGAGCGCTTCTTTTGCTGCCGCATGAATTTTTCTTAGAATTTCTTCATATTTATCTAAATAATATATTAGCCAAATTTATAATTTATTATGTCAATATGCAACAATCGATATAAGGCTCGTGATGACTCTGCCGCTCATTTATTTATGCAGCAAGTAATTAAAAGTTTATTTTAACACAGTGGTGTAGCTTTTTACGTTGAATTCATTTCAACACTAATAATCCTCATATACACTTATTCAAAAAAAATCATACTCTGACGACCGCTTTTCCAGTATTACCAACGTTATTACCGTTAAGCATATCAACAAATAGATCAAACATATTTCTCTTTTCGAATTCTTCTGTAATCCTCCCAGTGTTCCGTCAGGACGTCTGTAATGGCTCTCAGTTGGCTCCTGCTTAGTTTTAGGAGGCTTTTTGTCTCTGCAATTTGGAGGACCTTGTATAGAGATCCTTGACTGTCTGAGGCCTTTCTGTTCCAGCTTCCAGCCATTCGTCTTTGAACCGGTTGTTGGACCGGTTCCTAATATTGGCTTTCAACAGACAGGAAGCAACCTCAAGAGCAGACTGAGGCCCAATAAAGGCAGTCTTGCTACCTTCACGAGCCAGCTGGTCTGCCTCCTCGTTGCCCCTGTGACCCGGGACCGAAATAAAGGTGACCTTGTTGAACCCACTAGAGGGTAGTTATACAGTCAAACGTGAGCCTCGAGTTGACCTTGTCTGAGCCTAGGCCTAGCCTATATGCTTGCCCGAGTAACCTCTCTGGAGATTCTCCTGAGCACATGCCTGTATGGCGTAGATTTCAGTCTGGTATACCGTAAGGTATCGACCAAGTGGAAGGCTAAGTCTCGCCATAGGTCTCTCCCCATATATACACTAGCCCCTGCACCCTTCCCCGTCAGAGACCCGTCTGTGTACCAGATGAGACCCTTCGGCTTGTTAAAGTCTGGGTCAGTCTCACTGCTGTGTAAAGCCAGTGAACTATGTAGGGCTGTAAACCCAAGGTACGTCCGATGAATCTTCTACAGGCCCAAAGGCAAGTGGCTCTCTGGACGACCCTGTTGACGTGATTTTTCCAGGTCAGACTAGAGTCATTGATGAGTCTTAGATACTTGACCATATGACCGGATGCAAAAAGCCTCGAAAGTGAGCCCTTCCAGGTCCACGTTCCTCTCCTTTGTGAATGGTGATATTTTAATATTGTCCGGATTTACAGAAAGCCCGTGATTTTTACACCATCTTTCTACCATTTTTAGAGCTCTTTGCATAATCCCTTTGATGGTGCTGGATATCGTACCAGCCACAGCGATGACAAGATCATCCGCGTAGCCTTTAGTGTACCCGGGTGTCCAAATAAGAAAGGTCGCCGGCTATAGGTATCTCAGGAGCTATTAGTCCTAGAGCTTCCAAGTAAATTTTTTTTCTAATAAAGTAGGCCATGAGAAATTGCTGGAAATAGTTTTCAAGTTTGTAAGTTGACCGCTAGGGGGCGCAAAGAACACTCGAAAACATAATACTGTGATTATCTTCAAAAAACACCTACTAAAGGTATACAAAAAATATGATTTTTGAAATCTTGATGAGATTACGAAAAAATTTTGTTAAGGATTTTTTGCCCTAACTCTTCAAATAAGAGGTGGGGGAAGGTACAAACTTGTTAGGAACAAAAGTTATATAACTTTTTTTTTTTCAACCGATTCGAATGAATCGGGTGTCATTTGAAAGAGTTTTTTTCTGTTCAATAAAATGCTTAATAAAAATAACAAAATTAAATTGCTATGTTGCCGCTAGGGGGCGCTGTGTCCAAAAGTCGGCAATTTTCCATTTTTTCTCGGAAATTTCAAATATAATGATGCTTTTTTTATAATTTAGATGGAAAGAGGATAAAAAAATAATGAATCTGGTGAAAACTGCAAGTCTGAATCTTTATCCTAGCCCAAAATATAAATGAACAAATATTTTAAGTAAGAAAAATTTCAGAAAAAAACCTTTCCTTTTCGGGATAAAACAGAAAAAATCCTATTTTTTTACGGCACTATAGAATTAGTGAGAAGAAGAACTAGTTATGTGTCTGAAAGTAGCTACCAATCCACGATATCAAGAATTGAGATTGAATTGAACTATAGTTATTTACATTCCAAGCTGCGAAAGCGCACTTTTAGGTGCGTGTATTCAAATAGCCAAAGCTGCGCTTCGCATCGCCTCGGCTATTTGAATACCTCCGAGTACTTAACAGGACTTGTGCAGCATGTGATGTATTAAACTTTCCATCCTTCCCCCTCAAAAATCGTGAATACGCATGCGAAAGTGAAGGAACCTACAAGCATGTTTCGCTTTCGCTCAACTATGCAAGATAAAAAAATCTACTTTTGTAGGGGCGAGAATGAAAAGGGCTTTTGCAGTGTGTAACGGAAAAAACTTTTCATTTCTCCTCTCAGGAATAGTATATTACATGCGGAGGTGGAAAGTGTTTCATTATTGTCGAGAGATACTATGGTTGACGGAGGTGCGAAGCGCCGAGGTTAACCAATTCTCGAGACAATAATGTGAAAACTTTCCACCGAAATATATATACTATTTTATTTTGAACCATCAATTATTGAAAAAAAAAATAAGGTAAAAATATGACTAAAATGGAATTTCGACTGACAGTCTGACACCGACATTGACATCTTATGAAATTTCAATAATATAAACACATGTGACATCTACTTCTAAATACAAACCACAGCATATTTGTGTTTAGGTGTGAAAGAACAATTTATCAGAGTCGAAAGTGAGTTCTCCAGGCCAAAAATCACAGAAGAACAGTCACTTTCGGCCTACGTTAAAGTAAACAAAAGTAGAGTAACATTTTCGAACCTTCGAACCAGTAAGGAATCTGAAAATTACATATTGGCGATTTCAAGATCGGTTGTTCACATACCGTATTGGAATATTTTATTTCTTTTTCGATGTTTTCTGTTCGTTTCTAATTTAAATTACGTGTTTTGTGTTGAAAAGTGGGAAATATTAAAGGGAAAGCTTTTATTGTCATTCTGTGGGGTGCTATTATT